TTTTTTTTCAAAGAATGTCGAATGATTGTTCTGTATTTGTTGCTAATATTCATAGACTTGAATCTAATTGATTACGAGAGTGTTTGATGTTTTACCAAAAAGGCTGCTTACGTCGAAGTGAATATCAAATTTTAAAACATTGCTTACTAGATTTTACATGATCGCAAGCACTTTGCATCCAATCAGCTATGAAACGTCAAATTTTGCGTTTCCTTCCTATTTGGACCACTCGAGGTAATTATTTCCATCGCTCATGGAGCTATACATGGTCATTTCAGGTCGCTGTGTTGCCTCGCAGTGTAAGGCCACCTTCTTTAATATTTCCGCAAGCTCGTTAACGTCCAAATGGGTTGGGGAAGGTGAAAAACTCGTTCGAGCGCTGTTTTCTGTTGCACGTTTGAAATTACCCAGCGTCATTTTCATTGACGAGGTAATGTCTCGTACATCTCGCTTTGCTATTTTAGTTACAGACAAATTAGTTGAATTGTTCGCAGGTTGATTCTCTCCTTTCATCGCGTTCGGAATCAGAACACGAATCATCTCGTCGAATCAAAACTGAATTTTTGGTACAGTTGGATGGTGTAGCGACAAACACAGATGAGAGGCTACTAGTTTTAGCTGCTACGAATAGGTGAGGATGTTTTCAAAAACAGAATAACTCATCTCTTTGTTTTCACCATTTGAACGGTAGTGATAGAGTCATTCTGCATTTTGACCCTTAAGACCTCAAGAATTGGATGAGGCAGCGCGCCGACGCTTTGTAAAGCGCCTTTACATCGCTCTACCTGAGGCTGATGCAAGATTGACTATTGTGAAAAATCTGCTTGCTGACATGAAACATAATCTTGAGGATGCGGACCTCGATGAAGTGGCGAAAATAACCGAAGGTTTGTCTATCCTTGTATTTTTACTACTTCAATAAGAACCAATCAGGGTATTCCGGAGCTGATATGCGGCAGCTTTGTGCAGAAGCCGCTATGGGACCCATTCGGGACATTGACAATTGTTCTTCTATGGATATTGAGACGATAGAGGCTGAGGAGGTGTGTTATTCTAGACCGCAGTCTTGCTGTATGAGTGTGACTTCTACAATTTCAATGATTTTGTTTTTCTCTTGGCTGTATGATGGGATTTTCACGCGTAAAGAGGATGTTTTACAGATTCGACCAATCTCCTTATCGGACTTCATTAATGCCGCTCAAGTTGTTCGTCCCACAGTTGTTGCCGAGGATCTAGAGGCGTACAAAGCTTGGGACGCTAAATTTGGTTGTCTTCTTTGATTGATTACTTCCATACCTTTCTTACTAGTTTCTTTATCGAAGCTGAATTTCGCAATTGATCTCTTTGGTATGAGTCCAGCTTTTGTTGTCACTTAGAAAAATGCCTTTAGTGTTCCTTATTTCGAAATCTTCTGCTCATTTTTTTCGCCAGAAAAAGCTTTTCTTGCTGTCCACTTTTCGCGCAGAAATGATCACAGTGTAAGTTCTTTCTTTTTATTACTTGCTATGGACTAATTGTATTTCTGTATATATTGCTTCTGTAAGGCTTTTTTGAGGTAGTATGAT